GGGGGGGGGGGGAGGGAGTACTTTTCTTCTGAGAGACATTCGAGTTATTTCTGTTACTCTTCTTTGCCACTACACATAATGCCGAAATATATGTAATCTTATGCATTGACATTTCTATTTCTGTAGTCGAGCTTTCTAAAGGAGAGGTTTCTAGGTCAAATGCCACACGAAAAGTTAAATGGAAACTGCCAAGTCACTCTGTAGAAAAGGGGCGATTCATCAGGAAATAATAACAGTACATCATCCAGTAGGAACTTCATCAGCATTGAAAACTATGAGCGTTTCAACTGCTTTGAAAGGCTCTGCACTGCATTTTCATTTCATTTACTTGACCAGGAATCATGGTGAACGTGTTTTCCATACATTTTTGGCAATTTGCATTCCCATTTCTGTGAATTACCTAGTCATTTGTCCATTTATCTATTGTTTTTTTATTGTAAATTTTGGAATATTTTTTGAATAGGGAATGAGGGATAGTATCACATTGTTTGGCACATGTTATTTTCATTTTATTATTTGTCTTTTAATGCTTTCGTGATACTTTGATTTTTCCATAATAACTTTTGGTTTTTCTGGTTTGATTAAATGGTATTCACGTACCCATGATTATACAAATATTTACCTAAGTTTTCTTCCAGTTTATTTGCTCATTTATATTCTCAGTTCATCTCAATGTTATCTTGACACCACATAATGTCACAGGGAAATATTTAAGAACTACTCCACTTTTTCAAATAGTCTGTGAACTGGCAGAGCCAGGACTTACGTGCAGCTTCTGATTTCTAGTCCAGCGTTCTGCTCATCCTGTTCCAACATCTATGGTGCAACACAAATAGGATTCTATTCCACTTACCTACTAGAACTTTTTTCTTTCAAACTTCCTCCTGAAAGCATCCTTCACCTCCTTGTTTCTCAAGCTGTAGATAAGAGGGTTCAGCATGGGGATGACCACAGTATAAAATAGAGAAATCACTTTATTGATATCTAAGGAGGAACCTGAGTCAAGAAAAACATAGATATAGAAAAGAGTCCCATAGAGGATGGAGACAGCTGCCAGGTGAGAAGAGCACGTGGAGAACGCCTTCCTCCTCCCATCAGCAGTCTGGATCTTCAGGATGGCCACCAGGATGCACACGTAGGACACCGTGATGACCAGCCCACTGAGTACCCCTNGATGGCCACCAGGATGCACACGTAGGACACCGTGATGACCAGCCCACTGAGTATCACAATAGCTCCAGCCAAGATGAGCAGCACTAACTTGTTGGTCCAGGTGTCTGCACATGCCAGGGACAGCAGCGGTGAAATGTCACAGAAGAAGTGGTTGATAACATTTGGACCACAGAAAGGTAAGCAAAAGGTGAGAACTGTATGAGTCATGGTGCTTATAAGAGCCATGGCATAGGGCCCCGCCACCAGCTGCACACAGACCCTCTGGGACATAATGAGTGTGTAGAACAAGGGCTTACAGATGGCCATATACCTGTCATAGGCCATGGAAGCCAGGAGACAACACTCGGTTGCCACAAAAAGACCAAAGAACCACATCTGAGCAGCACAACCCATGAAAGAGATGCCTCTCTTCTCTGCGAAGATATCACCCAGCATCTTGGGGGCAATGGAAGAAGAGGAACAAGTATCTACAAAGGACAAGTGACTGAGAAAAAAGTACATGGGGGTATGGAGTCGGGAATCGATCCATATGAGAGTGATCATCCCCAAGTTTCCCCCCAGTGTGACAAGATAGATGAAGAGAAGCGTGGCAAAGAGGGCAATCTGCTGAGGGAGATGATCCGTGAGGC